CGCCCGCTCCCACTCCGGGTGGGTCTCTAGGTCACCCGGGTTCCCAGAAGTCACGATCTCTCTCCAGCGCTCAAGCCGCGCAGTGAGGACACCGTAGCGCTTTGCTTCGGTTCCGCTCCCTGGGACTCAGGCGGGCGCTGAGCCTCTCAGCCCCGCCGCTTCCGAAGGGGCGAGGCAACGCTAGCTCTTTACCCCTCCTGGCCTCGGCGCCCCTCTTCCTTCTGGTCCTCCTGTCCCTTCCAGACAGAGTGAGCCAGGCGTCCCGGTGGCTGCGCCTGGCGAGGCCCGTGCGCCCAGGGGAGGACGCAGGGTCTTGGACACTGGGGGCGAGTTCCGAGCGGTAGAACCTACCGAGCGGGCTTGGCGCGGCGCCAGGCGCTCCCGGGTTCACCTGCAGTTTAATAAGCGGGAGGTGAGCTAGGGGGACGGTAGGGGGAGAGGTTAGGGGTGGAGGGGGAGACTTGCCAGGGCTAGCCGGGGCGGGGCGGCGCCCAAAGCGGGGAGGGGGCGGGACAGCGACTCCTGGGCTTGGCAAGGAGGCTGGGTTCCTTCCTTTGGCCTCAGAACACCGTCGCACACCTCTGCGGCTTCTGCTCCCGGCATTGCGGCATTGCGGCATTGCGGCATTGCAACACCTCATTTGTGCCTCTCCCTTGAGGAGGGGACTCTGGGCTCCTGGAAAGGAATTGCCACTCCCCCCTCAAAGGACCTCTCTCATCTCCACCTCTCAGTTCACCCTCATGGGGTCATTCCCTGGTCTGCCCTGGCCCATGGACCTGAAGGACTAGCTGAGTTTAAATCCCATGGGACCACTTTTGGTGGCAGCCAACCTCTGGTATACGCCCTTTCCACAGTTTCACTTCATTTTAAGCTCTGGGCTGTGCCTTGTGGGGCCAGGTGACCTCAGTTCTGCCACATGGAATATCAAGGTGCTGAGCCCTCGCCTGACCCAGGCTGCCAATAGGGTTCTTGAAGGTGCATCCTGCCATGTTTAAAATACAGGAACTGCTAGGAAGAGGTGGTCCCTTGGGCCTTCCATTTTAATGTTGTTACTGTCATCTAATTGTCCTGGCACCTTTCCTGAGATGGGTTGGGCTGAGGATGGGGTTCTAGTGAAGGAGAGAAAAGGAAAGGAGGTGTTCTTGGGAAGGCAGGGCATATAACAGGGCATTACCCAGCCAAGGAGAGGGGCCTCTAGGAAGCTAGAGTCAGGAAAAAAAAAAAAAAGCTGTGAGAGGGCTCCCAGTCCATGCTGGCTGCTTTACCCAGCCCAGGGGCAGCTGTGACCTACGTGTCAAGGGCACTGGTATTCCCAGCTTTTAGTTCTAGGACCCAGAGGGTTAGTGCCCGGGTGGGTGGAGTATTGGCAGAAGACCAGCTAGAGGGGAGCTCTTCCTTGTGAGAACTAGAGAACCCATCTCTCACTCAGGGACCAGAGGGAGATTTGAGGAAGGGGCTACTTCAGGCTGGACTTGGACCCTGGCGTGAGAAGGGGTCAGAGGACAGGGAGAAGCCTGATGGAGGAGACTGCCATAGATTCACCCAGCAGGTTCTGGAGCTCCCGCACAGTTTAGGTACTGCCCTCCCTAAGGCCCAGACCCATAGGATACAAGGTACAGGAGGCCCCACAGCAAGCCAGGCTCCTAGTGCAGGAGAAGCCAGTGAGTGAGAGTCCAGCCTCTGTTCTCCAAGGTTTTGGTTCTTTCTTCTCCCACCTCCTTTTCACATTCCTCCTCAGAGAGTCTTGCTTTCATGCCTAGGTCTCCAGGCTTGGGGTATGTGGCCGAACTCAGATGGGGACACAGGCACAGGCAATCATATGCCAAGGTCACCTAAGGTCCCATTACTCCAGTAAGTTAGACAACACATACTAAGTACTTGCTGGGTGCCAAGCACTCTTCTAAAGCACTTTATCTGTGCTTCAGGGTCCTCAAACCATCCCCATTCGGGAGGTCCTATTATTATCCTCATTTTACAAATGAAGCTAAGAGAGGTTAGGTAACTTGCCTTTAGTCACACAGCTTGTAAGTGAGCTGTAGAACCAGGACTCAAGTGCAGGCCAGCTAACTTTAGAGATTCCACTTAACTCCTGCCATACTGCCTCCCAAGCTAAAAGGCCACCAGGATCTCTGTGCCCAGAGGTGAACTGTGCCATGTAAGAGTAGTCCAAGAAATGAAACTGACATGCACACTCCTACCCATGTTTGTGCAAGCATGTAGCCACATTCAGTGTCATCCCTAAGTGTTCCCATATGCACACAACTCTCTTCCTCTCAGCCCAGGCACAGGAGCACGCACAGATTGTTTGCACAGAGAGAATGGGGACCAGACCTTTCCCCTTTTCTGTCTGATTCAAATGGGCAGGGCTCAAGCTCCTTTACCCGCTCCAGGTTCCACTGGCTCCTGAATCCTCTCTCCTCCACACTCCCCTACCCTCCGAATCTCCTCCCCCAGCCCTTTCCTGGCCGTTGGCTTCAGCCTGTAGCAGCAGCTGACTCCACTTAGATGCTGGCAGTCCCTGTCCCAGATCAAAGGCAGAGAGGCTAATTGTGCGTCTTAACGAGCCCCCCACCCCCACCCCAACCAATGCTCCCGGCAGCCCAGCTGGCCATGGCCCCACCCCTCTCCCCCTCCAGCTGGCCAGATGGCACAGTGCCTGCGTCTGCTCCAGACAGTCGGGGCCAGGACCGAAACTGGGGCCCTGAATGGGAACTGGAGGCAGACCCAGTGGGCTGGACTTCTCGAGGCCTGGATACTTAGAACAGAGGGTGGCCACAGACAGAAACTCCGCCTGGTCACACCTACATGGGGCTGTGACAGCTACTAGAGACCATGGAATGGTTTTTTTGTTCCATGTGGTAGGTATGGGTGGTCATTGCAGGCTGTGGACTACATTTCTCCAGTTTCTTCCAGCCTATCCTTGAATGTAACAGAGCCTAGAATATGATGGTTGGCTTAGCACATCCCCCCCTGGACCAGCCTCTTGCTCTTTCCTGGTGCCATCCATAGTCAGTGCCATGGAAGCTGGGAACTGGGCTACCTGGTTTCTTACTCAGCAGCAGGTCTTCCCTGTCAAAATCTTTAGCAAAAAGTTGTCAGGCCTGGAAACTGGAAGAGCTGGGGCTGGATCCAGCTCCATAACCCCCATGACTTTGGGCATCTCCCTTTCACTCTGTGTGTGTGTGTGTGTGTGTGTGTGTGTGTTCTGGGGAGTAGATTTCTGAGGTCTGGGCTTCCTCTCGAGATCTGAATATTGCCATTTGTCTAAAGAGCAGACTGATGACTCCCTCAGCAATAAGAACAGTGCTTCAGAGTTCCATAGACCAGTGGTCGGCAAACTGCGGCTCGAGAGCCACATGTGGCTCTTTGGTCCCTTGAGTGTGGCTCTTCCTAAGCCTTAGGAGTACCCTAATTAAGTTAATAACAATGTACCTACCTATATAGTTTAAGTTTAAAAAATTTGGCTCTCAAAAGAAATTTCAATTGTACTGTTGATATTTGGCTGTGTTGACTAATGAGTTTGCCGACCACTGCCATAGACAAAACGCAATGGATAAACACAGGCTGTGCTCCTTAGCGTGAATCTGTCCTCCTTTCTCTTGGGCCCCATCTCCCAGAGCAGTGCCTACTCCTCTGCAGCTGCCACCAATTCCCAGTATCCCCTTTAAAGGTTCCAGCCTAATATCCATCTCTTCTTGTCTGTTCATAGCTGGCTTCTTATGAAAGGTCCCAAAGATACCACAAGCTGGAAAGAGAAAATAGAGAGAGACAGTCTGCTGTATGGGCTTCTGGTGACCCAAGTAATTTATTGTAGATTAGCTTCTGGGCTCTGTCCCTGATCAGGGAAACAAAAAGCAATGGCCTGAAACTATAGAAATAGGGAGTGAGGTCAGACAGCAGGAAGAACTTAATAGCTCATGTTTACATAGTATTTACTATAAGGAAGGTATTATTCTAAGTACTTTAAATTTACTAACTCATTTAATCCTTGGAACAACAGTGAGGCAGATAATAATAACCCTGTTTTACAGATGAGAAAAGTGAGGCACAGACAAGTCAAGTCACTTGGCCAAGGTCATATAGCTATTGACATCTAGTAAGAGGAAGAGCCTAGATCTGAACCCAGGCAATCTGATTTTAAGCTCATAATCTTAACTACTACTATATATCTTGGGGCTTTTTGTTTTTTTCTTTTTTTGTTTGAGTTGGTTGGGCAGGAAGAGAAGGACAGGGCCTGTGGTGCACATGGTGAGGTTGGGCTAGGGTCTCTGTCCAGCCTTGGTTGGCTCTCTGGAGCTGTAAGTCCTCTGAGAGCATGCCTTTCCATTCTTTGATGCTGAATGGAAGGCCTCAGTTTTTCCTCTGAACCTCGGGCCTCCCCCAAGGCCTTCAGCCTCTGGCTAGTTTTGGGCGTCCTCAGCAGAGGCCCATGGCACAGGTAGATTCTCCTCTTTGTATGAGGACTATTATTACTTTTAGCTTCTTTCATTGCCCACATAGGTTCAGAGACTGGTCAGAAACTTGTCCCAGAACCTGCTCATAGCTGGTCCTTTCTCAGATGCAGAATAAGCAAGAAGCAGCTGCGGGTCTGGGAGCCAGATACTCTTCTGCAAGTAGGCCTCCCCTGCCACAGGCCCAGACCTACCAGGGATGTCCCAGAGGAAAGCTCTGGGAACACCAAGGAGGAAAGCAGTGTAGACAAGTCAGTGGCCAGGCTGGCCCAGCCCTGAGCCCCTGAGAGTGGCTCATGAGGGAGACTTTGTGCCCCCCACCCCCACCTACCACCACCAGCATTTCAGGGAAAGTGTCTGCGTTAGATCGCTCTTCCCTCTCAGTTTTCAACACTATTATACTTGACCCCATGCAAGGCACAGGGCTCACCTCTAGCATCCCTCAAACAACCTTCAGCTGACCTAGACTCACCACAGGTAGCCCTTCTCTGAGCAGATGTTCAGGAATGTCCTGTGGACAGGAAAAGGGGAAACTCTGCCAATTGATTTCCCTGCCTCTCAATTCTGGCCCCAGAGAGGTTCTATGGTGGACCTGGAGGGGGGGCACCAGGCAGGCAATCTTGGGGTCAGGAGCTTTAGGAGGATACCAGCTCCTCTGACTTACCCATCTGCCCATTAACATTTCCTGCAACCTGGAATTCCATCACTGGGGATTTACTGTTTAGGTTACCTAATTTGCCTTCTTTCTGCAGGCTTATTTTTACAATGCAAATATTATAAGAGAGGTAATAGATTAAATCCCTGATTTTATTTTATTTTAAATATATATCGAGCCCACAACCCAGGCATGTGCCCTGACCAGGAATCAAACCTGGGACACTTCAGTCTGCAGGTGGACACTCTATCCACTGAGCCAAACCAGCTAGGGCAAGTCCCTGATTTTAAAAAGAATGTTTACTACCAGATACCTTCTGTCCAAAAGGAGAGATGTAGACACAAATTTGAGCTTGTTAAGGGTGATGTTAATGAAACAGGGAAATAAGTGCCAAAAAGGAGGGTTGTGAGGGAGACTCCCACCACCTGCATCCTCTGGGCAGAACCTGTGGTGTGATTTATCACCCCCTTTGATGCTGTGCTCTGTAACAGGCCTTCTCCCAACACTGGGCTTCAGTTTCCCCTCTGTATGGTGAGAAGCTTGGGTAGAGAAGGCAGAGGAATGGGATGTCAAGGTTGCTCAGAGCCTAAGTTTCCTGGATCTCTACCTGCAGGTTTCCGAGAGAGTGCCTTCGCGTATGCCATTGCTGCAGCTGGCGTAGTGCACGCGGTTTCCAATGCTTGTGCCCTGGGCAAACTGAGGGCGTGCGGCTGTGATGCATCCCGGCGTGGGGATGAGGAGGCCTTCCTTCGGAAGCTGCACCGCCTACAGCTGGATGCGCTGCAGCGGGGTAAGGGCCTGAGCCACGGGGTTCCCGAACACCCAGCCCTGCCCCCTGCCAGCCCTGGCCTGCAGGACTCCTGGGAGTGGGGCGGCTGTAGCCCTGACGTGGGCTTTGGGGAGCGCTTCTCTAAAGACTTTCTGGACTCCCGGGAGCCTCATAGAGACATCCACGCACGCATGAGACTCCACAACAACCGAGTTGGGAGGCAGGTAAGAACTACCCTTCCCAACCCCTCACTCTACTCCCTCTGCCACAGCCCCTCCCCTTCCCCAGCTTGCCTCTCCTCTGGGAACCACATGGCTCCCCCTAACTCAGCAACTTTCTCATGCCCCCTCCTAATTCAGTCAACAAGCATGGATTGAATATCTACTGTGTGCCAGGCACTTGATTAGGCCTGGGGATAGAGGGCAGAAACAACCCCTGCCCTAATAAACTCACCCTCTGCTGAGCAGCCTGCTCTGCCCATTTCCTCTGGGAACAATGGTGAGAGACAGGGTTGTAGACAGACCTCAGGGGTCTAGGCTTGGCTCTGCCACCCTCTCTCCTCCCCTATGAAGTGGGAACTTTGAACTGGATCATCTATAAGGCCATCGCTCTAGTTCCATGATTCTGTGATATCCTCTGCTGCAACCCTCTTCTCTCCCAACCTTTCTGTGAAGAATGGGGAATCCCTCAAAGTGAGGTTCCTAGGGACCTCTATAGAACTGTGTCCCAGTCTCCCCTACCCTCAAATGGTCATGCTACCTCAAATGTCTCATTCATTTGAAGAGAGAGACAGAGAGAGATGAAAGTAATAATAAACTGGATTTATTGAGTGCTTACTATATGTTAGGTACTGTTTGGAGCACTTTACTATGTATTAGCCTACTTAATCCATACAACTACCTATTGAGGATACTATTATGAACCTCAGGTTAAGATATGGAAACTGAGGCACAGAGAAACTAAACTGACTGAAGGTGATGTAACCAGTGGGAAAGGGGTAGAAGCAGGATTCATCTCTGGCCAGTTGAGCTCTGGGGCCCTGCTCTTTTGCTTACAGCGTAGTCTACTCTAGGTGCACACCTACACTAAGGTGCCTCCTTAGCCTCATGGTAACTCAGCACTCTTCTTTCCTGGCGATTCCACCCCTACCCTGCCCCTTCTCTTGCCCTGCCAGGCCTGCTCAGGCTTTGGTCCTGGCTTCCCTTCACTCTGGCTGGCACCTTCTCCATCTCACTCCCCTTTCTCCTAGCCCCTCAGTCAGGCTGGCTCACCCTCTCCTTCCAAAAAAATCTCCAAGCTGATTTAGCTCTTCCCATTCTGCCTTAGAGATGAAGTAAACTGAGGCATACCCACCCTCAGGTCAAGTCTAGCTCCCACCCAGTCCTGCCCTGTCCATGCAGCTCTTTTCCCAAGCTTCAGTACTATCCCCAGCCCATACCAGCAGTGCCTCCTCCTCATCGTTAAACTGGTTAATTAATGGCTGCTGCCTGTGGGAAGCAGATGTTCTGGAGCTGTTGGCCAGGGGAGGCTTTGGGCTGGTTCCCATGTGGTGCTGACACCACAGGCTGCACATCCAGGCTGAGGAGCCCTTTAAAACATGGATGAGCAGGGTGTCTGTCTATGGCCCTCTTGCCCAGGTTGAGGGCCCCCATCATTGCCCTCCCTGTCTGAGGGTGTATTTTTGACGTGGAACGGGGCGAGGGGGGGAGAGAAGGATGTGGTCAACTCCCTCTGGGTCCTCTGGTGAGGATAATGCCAAGGGCTTCTTTGGGAGGAGACTCCAGAGAAGAGCAGGGCGTGGGTAGGTTCTGTTCCCTAACCACCCCCTTTGGAGGTCTGCGACCTCTCTCCACTTTCACTGGGTTGGCGGGTCTGGCTCTTTGGGTTCTGTTCCCATCTGCATTCAGGTAAAGCCTTGGAGCCCTGTTAGTGTTGTTTCCTAGGAGGAACTATGTACTCCGCATTGGGCAGAATAAGTCCCAGGCAGTCTACTGGGGGGAGGGCTGTCTCTACATCCCCTCCCCCTCCTAGGTTCCCAGCAAAGGGTTTCAGGGCCCAGAGGAGGAAAGGGGCTTTTTCAGACTCCCCGAAGCCCCCACTCACAGCCTGGAGCAAGGCCAGAGGCTTTGGGGCTGGGATGTAGTGGGGCCAGCACGCCCCTGCTTCTGGCCCCCACCTGAGGGATGGAAGGAGAGGGAATTTCCCTGAGGATCTGGGATCCCCCCTCAGGAAGCAAGAGCCTCCAGCCCCAAGGGCCCCCTGCAGGTGCTGGGAAAGGCGGGCAGGAGGAGGGGGGAGCAGGAAAGAGGGAATTCCCCCAAGGCCTGGCCTGGTGGGAGGTGGGTGTGAGAGCAGGCAGGTTTCTCTTCTGCACAGCCTGGCTCAGGGGCTGTGCTACCCCCGCCCTCCAACCCGGCTTCGGGCCTCAGTTCAATGGGCGTTGGTTTCAGAAGCCTCTGTCTCTCTCAGACCAGTGTCTTGTGTCGGCAGGAGGGCAGTGGGGTGGCTTGGGACACTTCTCACCGTGCCTCCCTCTGCAGGCCGTGATGGAGAACATGCGGCGGAAGTGCAAGTGCCACGGCACCTCAGGCAGCTGCCAGCTCAAGACCTGCTGGCAGGTGACACCGGAGTTCCGCGCTGTGGGGGCGCTGCTGCGCAACCGCTTCCACCGCGCCACACTCATCAGGCCGCACAACCGCAACAGCGGCCAGCTGGAGCTGGGCCCAGGGGGGGCTCCCTCTCCGGCCCCGGGCGTTCCCGGACCACGCCGCCGGGCCAGCCCTGCAGACCTGGTCTATTTCGAGAAGTCGCCCGACTTCTGCGAGCGCGAGCCGCGCCTGGACTCGGCGGGCACCGTGGGCCGCCTGTGCAACAAGAGCAGCGCGGGCCCCGACGGCTGCGGCAGCATGTGCTGTGGTCGGGGCCACAACATCCTGCGCCAGACACGCAGCGAGCGCTGCCACTGCCGCTTCCACTGGTGCTGCTTCGTGGTCTGTGAGGAGTGCCGCATCACCGAGTGGGTCAGCGTCTGCAAGTAGCAGAGGGCTCCCCTCCCTGAGACTGGCCTTTTCCCTGCTGCTTGAGACCTTGACAGAGTCGCCTTTGGCTCCTGGGAGAGGAGGTTGAATCACATGATCTTATAGGAACCTTCCAGTTCTGAGAGTCCTCAAGTTTGTAATCACGGAAAGTCTAGACCTCAGTACTCACTTCTATGGGCTCCAAGCTCCAGCTGCTCAGTTGGGCTGGGAATTGCCCCATATCCTGGGGCAAGTGCCACCAACCCCATGCCTGTTTCCTTTCATCCTTCCCCCCTTCCCTTGGAGTAGGAGGGAATGAATGGAAGCTGATGGGCAGCGGGAAGAGGATTGAAAAGAAGACATGGACATAATTGAGCTGCAGAGATCCTAGAGAGGCCCAGACACCCTCCCTGACAGGCTTCTGCCCCTCATCATTCAATTAACAAATATTTATTTTGCACTCTTTGTGGCCTGGTACTCTTCAGGGGATGAGGGGTGCTGGGAATACAGATGTGAATAAGAGAGACAGCACCTGCCCTCTTGGAGTTTACATTCTGGCTGGGGGAGATGGACAATAAACAAGTAAATACATAAACACGTTCATTTCAGACAATGTTCATTTCAAAACATTGCAATGCTATGTGCGATGAAGAAAATAAAACAGAGTGCTGGATGTAGAGTAATTTGGGGGGAGTGGGGCTCCTTTAGATAAAGCCATTGATTGGTCCAGGAAGGCCTCTGGAGTTGTGATACTGTTGCTGGGGGCCCCATGAGAAGGAAAGCCATGCACGGATTGAGGGTAAGGGCTTCCCAGGCAGAAGCCATGTGAATGCAGAAGCTCTGATGAGGAATAGCGAAGAGGCCAGTGTGATTGGAGCGAAGAAATCAAGGGGTAGATTAGCAGGAGAGGAGCTGGGTGCAGGGGAAGGGTCATATCATGTGTCCTAGGTCAAGGTAAGGAGTTGGGATTTTATTGAACAGGAATGGAAACCTTCACAGGGTCTTAAGCAGGCACAGGCAAGTGTCATGGTCTGATTCCCACCTGGATTACTGCATACGGAACTGGCTGAAGGAGGACAAGTTGAAAGCAGGGGAGCCATTTAGGAGACTATAGCTGTCTTCCAACCCAGAAATGGGGCCCAGACTAGATGGAGTGGAGGCAGGGGATGTTGACAAGGGGCTGGATCAAGAGCCCTTGATGCCAGAGCTCTAGCAGTCCAGCTTGTATCTCAACCTTCTGCCACAAGCCAGGACGAGTGGCTGTGCCCAGCAGCACCCATCAGCATAGACAGGAGGCACTCTGAGAAGAGTAATCCTGGGCAAGACCCAGCTCAACCCAGCCCAGTGCCCCAGGGAGCAGGTGGGGTTAGGAGGTGCGGCTGGGAGAAGAGTGGCGGGGGAGGGCCAGGAGACTCACTGTCTGGATTTTGGTCTCTGAGTCCAGGCAGGGGAGGTGGGGTATATAAGGCTGGAATGGGGGAGGGAGGCATTCTTCCTGGACCTCTTGTGCCCCCAGATCCCCAACTCAGGGTGCCCTTGGGTCAGCAAGCACATCCCCATCCTCATGCCCCCATGACAACACTGCTGAGCTGGTTCAGTGTCACACTCTCCTTTGCTCTCAGATCTGATGTTTTCTGGAACAGATCCTCAGAGAGGAGGTGGGAGTGGAGAGGAAGGTGGGATCAGGATCTTAGGGAGAGAACACTTCACCTCTTCATCCAGGCCTCCTGCTGCTCACAGCTGGGGATCCTGCTGCCTGCCTCAGTTCACCCCAGAGTGCCACCCTTCATGATCAACTGGACAAGGACAGTGTCTTATTCCTCTCCCCAGTTGCCAGCCTACAAAAATCCCCCATATTTCCCTAGCCCTGTCCCATGTCTCCCTACCCCTGGGGAAGGGTAAGAAGGAAAGGATGCACCCCTGTAGGCCCACCAGCTGGGAGATTTGACCTCACTAGCTTGTCTTCAGCTCCCTCCCCTCCAATGCCTGCATCCCAGCAGCTCCCAGACATGCCTACGGCAGCATGGCCTGCCTTTCACATGCTCAGCTTTTCTGCCTCTATGGAATACAGGGTTTCTCTCCCCATCCCCCAAAAGACAGCCCCACAGGCAGGCAGGCCGGTAAGAGTCCCCAGGGAGGAGGGGTAAGCAGGAGCAGCCAGACACACCTGCCTCATTCCTTTCCTCTTGTTCACCCAGGAGAGCTGTGGGGGCTGGGTTCCCTGCCATACCATCCTGAGGAGGAGGAGGGAAGGGTGGGGTAGGGGGGTGAAATGGTGGCACATGGGGAATGGAGGAATGGGGGTGGGCACTTCCTCCCCCCCAGCAGTGTCCACCACAGCATAAGCTTTGGCCTCCTCCTCCTCCTCTGCCTTCCTTGCTTAAGGAAGACAGAGCTGGGGGAGGAGAGACTGGAAATGGGGGATATAGGATCAGGGTTGGAATTTGGAGGCAGGAGGTGTAACTCTGGAGAGCATGCTGCCTCTAGAAGGAAGGGTGGGCGGTGAGGTGTGGCAGGGGGCTGGACACCAGACCAGTTGAGTCATGGTGATCTGACATATGCTAGTCTGACATGTAAAGGAAGACAGGACAAGTTGGGGAAGGAACAAATAGGGTGTTGCCCACCCGCATCCTCTCTCTGGGCCAGAAGCTGACTAGAGTCCTGAGACCAAAGCTGGATCCCATAACTGAACAGGCAAGGGTGTGTGGAATTTGGTAAGAGCCTGAAGGGAGATGTGGAGATGATGAAGGGCAGGGAAAATGGGGCCCAAGAGGCATTGGGCTTATGTATACCAGCTGAAGGGCGAGGCAGGAATCAATGTACTGATTGCAAATAGGGGAAATGGGCTGAAATACAGTGGGACAGTGGAGGAGGATGGGAGGAAGAACTTTCCAACAGCTCAGAGAGGACCAGGGCTGAGATTTGGAAATGAGAACAGAAGGGGGACCAGAGAACATTCAGAGGAGAAGGGGACCATCTCCGCCCTCAACACCTTTCACCTTGATGGACACTGAGTCATCTTGCAGAAGGAAAACATAGTTTGGTCTAGTGCAGTGGTTCTCAACCTTGGCTGCATATTAGAATCACCTGGGAATCTTTTTAAAATCCTGATTTCTGGGCCTCATCCTCCGGAAATTCTGTTTCTTTGTTACTAATGTTGTGGCCTCACCCCATAACAAAGAAACAGAATTTCCGAAGGATGAGGCCCAGAAATCAGGATTTTAAAAAGATTCCCAGGTGATTCTAATATGCAGCCAAGGTTGAGAACCACTGGCCTAATGGAACCTGGAAGGTCCCAACAGGAGGAAGGGGAAGAACTAATAGAGAATGAGGGTGGTGGACAGATGAGCAGGCAGTGGTGGGTTCAAGGTCAGGGAGAAGCAGCCAGATTAGTGTGGGGATCAGAACCCAATCATCCTGCTTTACAGTCGCCCAAGGTCCCAGGGTTGGAAAAAAGAAGAGGAGAGAGGCAAAGGTAGACTTTGGTAGTTTTCCTAGGGCCCTGGTGGGTGAGAAGCAAGGTCAGGGGCATCCTCACCCTACCCGTCCTTCCCCCGAATTAAGGTGCCCCCAGCTAGCCCCCGGCAGGGGGCCTTCCACACTGGAGTTTGGCCAGGCCCTAGTCGCGGTCCCCCTCCTCCCCTCCCACTCCCACTTCTTATGTGGTTGCCGGCAGCTGCCTGCGGTCGCCCCAACCCCTGCGCTCAAGGCGCGGGGACTTTCCAACGGGGGAAAAAATGACTTAATGAGAGTGGGAGCCGGGGGCGGGAGGGACAGGTCCCTGTAATCACCGCTCGGCTGTTGGGCCTGCGCGCCTCCGGGCCCTACCCCAGCTTCCTGCTGCCAGCGCCCCCTTCGGGCTCTGCTGGGAGAGGAGGACGGGCTGGGGACAGGGGGGATTCCTTTTTAGGTTCCAGGCTCTCTGGGGCTCTCCAGCTGCTTTTGCTCCCTAGGCTTGCAGTGTGTGGAAGCTATAACACCCCATGATCCCTCTCTGGACTTTGTCCTGGGAGTTGGGGGAGGGCAGTCTCCTGAGGAACCAGGGTCCTCTGCTGGTGAATCAGAGGGGTGAGGGATCGTGAGCAGAGCAGAGCCCTTTGCCACTTCGCGGCTGCGCACTTCGAAACGCCCCCGGTTGCTGTGGCAACCAGGGCAGTCGAGGTGTGTCCGCAGGGCTGGGAGGCGCCCCCCGCCTCT